AAATAAGAATGAGAAAAGGAACTCCTCAAAATTTACCTCCACTTAATCTTTATGGTTCACCTGCCTTGAACTCCCAAAAATGAGCTACTCTTTGCTCACTAAGATAGACCCAATACTCACCCAGCTCTCTGCTGGGTTGGGAACACTGTGTGGCGCCTCTTTCCCAGAACTCCGACTTCCCATTGAGTGTTGCCCAACAAGAGGTCAGAGAAAGGAGGAATGAAAAACCGAAATATCACTCTTACTCTTTGTCCCCTGCCATGAAAGCCTGTTCTCTGCCCTGTGCCACTCTCTGCCTTAGAGACAGCTGAGTATGGACTGAAACCTCTAGTAACTGTGAGCTAAATAAACCTTTCGGGTGGGGGTGGGGGTGGGGGCAGCCAGGGCCCTCCGGATCCTCGCTCCAGCCAGCACCCAGGCCAGGTGTGTGTGTGGACCTTCTTCCATCAGACAGGTCTGGTGGGACCCCTGTGGCAGAACCACCTGCAGAGAAGCTGGAGGCAAGACCCACCCAGCTGATCCAGGAGTAGAACATCTTCTCAGAGTGGCAGAGCGGGTTTACTTCCAAAGACTGCAGCAGGAAGAAGCGGAGCACAGCAGGCAGACCCAAGCCACAGTCACCAAATACCTGGACAAGTTTGAACTTGGTAGAACCAGAACTGGTGCTAAGGTAATAACTCTAAGCTCTACACTAAAGGTCAGAAGACAGTGCTATACAAAATAGAAGGAGCAAAATGCATTCTCAGGCCCTGAGCCCACCCAGAACAAATGCAGGAGGCAATAGCACAGAAGAAATTGGAAAACCAAAATATCTGTTCCTTTTATTCTTCGGGCTCTTCTGCTGCAAGGTTACCATGAATTACCTGGGATTCTCAATCGGATCTCAGTGCTCCTCTTAAGATGGCCCACTCATCCCTCTGGGCTTCTCGCTATTGATTCCTTGCTTCCTATGGCCTAGTCAGGGTTAAAATTTGAATGCCTTCCAACTCTACCCTCCTCTGAACTCTCTTGGGGTTCTTCCTATATGTCCAATTGTAAAAATAATACCTATTCAACCTGTCCTATTTTGAGCCTGCCATTTGCTTCCTATTGGGACCCTGATCGATACACACTTTTAATCAAACAGCACTCAGGTTAGAATACCTTTCTTCACCCTTTCTTCACTCTATTTCCCTGATCAACTTCTAAACATATTACCAAGTATGACTAAATGTCAAACACCTCTAAATGTCTATTTCCATCTGAAAATGAAAAAAACATTCACCCTTTTTTTGCTCCAATAGCACATTTTTAAAATACACATACACACACACACACACACACACACAATCACATACCTATATTACAATGAAATACAAGCATCACAAATTAAAAACTCCTGATACAGAGCAGACTCTTAATAACTAGTAAACTGCTATGAGACAACTTGAGAAGTGGGTTTTTTTTTTTAATATAATGTTACTAAAGGTGTACATTTGTATTTAAAAAAAATAAAAATCTTTAAGTAAATTAGTTTGGCGATATATTCAAATAAAAGAGTGTCAAAGGCATGAATAATATGTCTAATTGTGCTCTAGGGAAGTAGTATTCTTTCCTATATTGTTATAGCCTTCCATATTTAATTTTATCTCACTATGTTATTTTTAACTATTTGTTTGGAAAAGTCATTTAATAAAAATGGAGACATGTACATGATCATACAAGCATTTCAATATTTTTTTATGGCATTCAATTTAAAGTATCAGGTATTTTACAATGAAAACAATGCTATTTTTCAATGGTAGACAATGCCTCATTTTTATTAATAGTTACTAGATAATTCATAAAGACATTTCCTTAAGTGAGTTTTAAAGGTCAATCCCTTGTGGCCTAAAACAAATTCTCAAGTTCAATTTAAAACAAGTTTTGTTTTGTTTTGTTTTTTTTTATATTTTTAGTACACAGTCTACAGGGTCTCACTATGTAGATCAGATTCTTGCCATCTCCTGTGTTCAGCCTCCCAAGTGCCAAGATTACAGGTGTCTGCCACCACACCCAGTCTCAATCACCATGTCAACGTGCCCTGGGGGCAGGGCCGGCAGGACAGTTTCCAAATAAAAAGCTAAAGCCTTCAATTTGGTTGAATTTTATAGCAAATTTAACCCCTTCACCGAAGAAAATTTGGTAAACACTTTCCATAAGCAAATAACTAATTATAACACTGTATTAATACATATTATAATAGTATCTAAATGTTTATTTAATATTTAAAATGTCTAAAGAGTCTGAATATTATTTGTGGTCTAAATTTCTGATGAGGGGCCGGAAGATAGCTCAGTAGAATAAGCGCTTGCCTGGCAAGTGAGTTTAATCCCTGGTACAGCAAAAAATAAATAAGTAAATAAAAATACAATAAATTTCTGATTAGTCATCTCCACTGAAATTTTTAAATAATAATAATAAACAAACAACAGAGAACAGTTTACCTAATGTTGGTTAAATGTTTCTTTACTATTAAACACAGAGTTTTAAAGGTCAGGTGACAATGTGAAAGCCATTTTTAAAATCATTACATAACTGCACTGAGATACAGTTTGAAAGAAATAGTAATGTAGCACATAGCATAGTAAAAAGATACATAAAAGATTTCAGTCAGACTGGAGAAGCGTATGTCTAACAGAATTCCCAATATACATCAATTATTATTTATTCCTGGTATAGGTTGAATATCTCTTATCTGAATTCCATAGAACTAGAAATGCTTAAGATTTTAGAATATCTGCATATAAATAAATAATTATCTTGGGCAGGGCCTAAAATATAAATACCATAACAGTTTTTGTTTCATAAACAAATATCCAGAAAGGTTTTTTTTTTTTTTTTTTTTTTTTTACCGTATTTTTAGTATTTTGTGAGTGAAACAAACTCACAGTGCAGAATTTTCCATGTGGGGATCATGCTTGTCCTAAAGAGTTTCAGACTTTAGCATGCCATGAACTTTACAGTTTGGATTAGAGATGCCTAACACATTTACCTTAAATAGTGTTGCAGTTCATGAAATTTTCTACAGAAAAATCATCTAACATTGTTAAGTAAGAAATTAAGTTTTTAAAATAATCAAGCATTAATCAAAAAAATTGTCTTGCCTCCCCATTTATATATAATTGGGACTGATAAACTAGAGACAAATGAAGTTATTTGATAGATTCCTACAAAAGAGGGCTAAAAAAAATGGCTTTGTTCAATAAATACTTCTTGAATATCTTTCCTGCTGGGCCTCATTCTTTGCATTGGGAATACACAGTAACAGCAAACAAAAAAGGAAAGGCCTTGATCTCATGGAGCTTATACAGATATGGAAAAGGGATTATTTATATGAAATTTAAATCCCTCTTCTTGTATATACTGTGGTTACTTTCTCTCTAATTTACTACAGATTAAAAAGAACTCTGGCTGCCACTTCATGTTAAAATGTCTCCTTATTTCATATAATACGATTTTCGGGTAACCATATTATATGTAGCAATGTTCTAGTAATTTTATTTTTTAAAACAAAACTTAAGCGTGCAAAACACACATGCTATTAAGTATTTGCATTTTAAGCATGCTTTAAGTAATCAAGTTAATATTGATACGTAACACATGCTAATAAAAATAATTCAGTCATAGGACTCACGATAATTGTGTCAGGAAGGTAAAGAGATATAGAGACACAAAAAATTACATATAATTGTGCATAGGGTCAAATACAGTAAAGGCTGAAGGCATTTACAGTACTTCCTATGTGAACAAGGGACCAAATCGAATCCAGACTTTAGTACCTACAGGCCAAGCATCTTTCACTGATAAAGGCCAGGAGGGTCCTCTCTACAGACATGGATGCTGTACCCAACAGTCAGACAGAAGAGGAATGTGGAGGACACTAGGCCCACCGGCCACAGACTGGCCCCTGGGCCAAGCTAGGTGGCCTCAGCAAAGAAGACAATCATTGAAAGATCACTGAGATCAGAGGACAGAAGAGGAAGAAAGCAGAAAACTTATGTCCCCAAAGCACAGAGAGGTGCCCAACACAGCTTCCTGCTCACACTTGATGCAGCTCACTGTAACACCAGTTTTCTCAAGACTCTTCGCAGGAAAAATCCTCTCTATATTTGATGATTTGAAGACAGGTTTCAGTTTGTATTAAACTTTGTGTTTTCCAAGGTCAAACTCCGGGATTACTTTCTATGTATCATTTCTTATAAAAAGCTTCTAAACCTCTGATGATGCAACAAAGTTTGGTGTCTCAGTTACTGTTCTTGTTGCTGAGACAAAATACCTGCCGCCCAAAATGAAGGAAGGAAAGGTTTATTTAGCTCAATTTGTAGAGGTTTCAGTCCATAACTAGTGGACTCCACGTAGGGTGGTTTTATAGAGAACACTTCATGGCAGGCAGAAAGAAACAGCAAAGCAAAGGGGGTGATGTTTTCAGAGGTGACTGAATCTAGCGTGTATTTGCTGGGATTAAGGGTACTTGATTGGTAGATCAGTCCACTGACTGGTTTGGCATAGTTGTGGCAAGCATAAGCATGTGATTGTGACACCTGTCCCAGGACAGGTAGCCAGCATACAACATAAGGAACAAAAGCCTTCAGTCTCCTCTTGCATGTTGCCTTCGGTGTTTTCCACTGCTATGAAGTGCTGCCCTCTGGCATGTGCCCCACTGCCTTGGAGCCTACCAATTATGGACAGAAACCTCCACAAACTGTGAGCTATCCTTTTCTTTCCTTAATCCTGGGAGTTGGTTATTCTGTCTCAGCAACGACAGAAAAGTAATGAACACTCTTGGAAACTGACAACCAAACACTTCTATAGAACACATTCTAATTCTTGATGCACATGATCAACATTTTTTCCATTCAGGCATTCATACTATTCCTCCCATCATTATCATATGCTGGTTGGACATTCTAACATTTTAGGTTGAACTTTTAAGATAAAGATAAATTGATAAATTCAATAAAAATAGAGGTTAAAAATACCTTTAACTTAGATCCATGTGGTACCATGACAAATTTATTCTGTTTTGGTGGGATATACAGCTCCCATTTTCCATAATCCAGTTTTTTATAAGGATATGAAAACGGGTTCCAGCCACCTAAAAAGACAAAGAAGAGCAGTCAACAATAGCTTGGCAGGACTAATATTTAATATGTTTCAGGTAAAGCATGATTTACTGCTCACTTGCACAAAATCAAATTGACTTTAAAAAGTCTATTCTAAACAAAAGAAATGTAACTAGGCTTGAAATGTAGCTTAATGGTAGTGATTGTTTAGTATGCATTTGACCCTAGGTTGGATCTCCAGCACTGTTTTAAAAAAAACTTAAAATTAAATAAAGATTATAAAATTTTAAATTATCATTTCAATTAACAAGCATCAAATAGAATACAAAAGAAAGTAAGTTCTTTTAAAAAAAAAACAAAAACCACCATCAGGGCTGGCAAGATAGCTCAGTGGACTAAGGTTCTATACCTGGTCCTTCATGCCATGCTGGCCCCACTCCTGGCACACCCTGAGCCTGTGACAGATACTGGGCATGGTGGCATACCCCTGTAATCCAGCGCTGGGGAGGCTGAAAATAGGATCACTGTAAGTCTGAGCTGCATAGTGAGACCCTGCACCAAATATATAAATGGAAAAAAAATTGTTAAAAAAAAACAAAAAACAAACAAACAAAACCACCAGCAAGAAAGAAACAATATAAACAAAAAGAATTATAAGACTTGCCATAAAAAAATAAAATTTGAAACAAGACATGCCATAGGGGGGAAAGTGATGAAAAATAATTAAAATCATTATAATATGTACATATTTTATTAATTTTTATTTAAAAAAGAGGAAAAAACAGGAAAATAACAAGGAAAAAGACAAAAATAAGGCAACATAAAAAATAGTACACTATTTCAAAACAGGAATAGAATATCAGTAATTGTTGTTATACTACACATTTATACATTTATATCATTAAATTTCTTGCTCAGATTACTAGATATAGGCAAACAAGACTGGTCTAACAAGTAAATATTAATTATTTTCAATAGGACATTAGAAACAACACATATTTTGTTTTTAAAAAAAAGGTGAAAGGTATTCATGTTATTATTATATTACATATTTCTGTCTTCAATGTAGTTCCTCAGATTACAGATATGAGCATATAAAATTGGTTGAGGTGAGAATTTTAAACATAAACTGCTACCTTCAAAAAGTTGAATACAATAGTATAATCATCTCAGTTACACTGTGTATATA